AGACGGTCGGCGGGCATTCTTTGAAAGTGACGGGCACGCAGCGGTTACGAATCAGGATAGGAGAAACGCTCATCAGCCATGACATGTTCATCGTGGAGGAGACGACCGAAACCATCATCGGAACCGACATCCTGAAACGGCTCGGTGTCACAATTGACCTGAAAAACGATGTGGTGATCGTGGCTAACGAGACGATCGAGATAAACAAGGGGAGAACCGACCGGGTTGGTGCCCTCAAAGCCGTGCCTGATTGTCAGAACCGTGCAATACGCAACGTACTGAGCAGGTATGCCCACTTATTCACAGACGCGGAAGATGATTACGGATTTTGCAATTGGGTTGAACACCGAATACCGTTGATCCCAGGAGGACAATGCAAGCCAATCTTCAGACGAATTCCACAGAACACCCTGGTTGAGATACAGAAGCAGGTGACCGAGATGGAATCGAAAGGAATCATCAGGCGAACGCACAGCCCGTATTCATCACCCGTGCTATTGACGAAGAAGGCTGACGGAACCTATCGATTTTGCATCGATTTCAGAGAACTAAACAGGGTGACTGTGAAGGATGCATTCCCGATGCCTCAGATGGAAGAAATTTTCTCAAGCCTTCACAGTGCCAAGCAGATATCTCTGATTGATCTCCGCTCGGGATATTGGCAACTGCCGATCGCAGAAGAAGATCGCCACAAGACGGCTTTCAGTGTCAATGGCCAGCAGTATGAGTTTTTGAGAATGCCGTTTGGATTGTGCAACGCCCCAGCTACATTCAGGCGTTTGTTGCTGATGGTCCTCGCGAACCTGCAAGGCGTGGTTGTGTATGGTGATGACATCATCGTCTTCTCTGAGACGGAACAGGAACATGTGACCAGACTTGGAGCAGTACTGCAGAGGCTAGATGAAGCTGGTCTGAAACTCAGTCGTAAAAAGTCGCAGATTGCCCAAAAGTCAATTGTATGCTTGGGTCACATCGTGGGCAATGGTCAAGTCCATCCACTTCCGGAGAAACGCGAGACGATCAAGTGCTTCGCAAAACCAAAATCCAAGCGTCAGCTCCGTTCGTTCTTGGGAGTGGTGGCATATGATTCAAAGTTTGTGCCCCAGTTCGCAGAGAAGGTCAGCCCGTTGTTAAAGCTGCTTGGCAAGGACGTGCCGTTCGTGTGGACAGCTGAAGCGGATCAGCCCTTTGACCATCTAAAGGCAGGCATAGCAGTAGCCCCGACATGTCTACGGCAACCCAATCCTGGTGAGAGGTTCACTGTGGCTGTCGACGCAAGCAACGTGGCCATCGGTGCGGTTTTGTCTCAACCGGCTGGGGTGGTGGAGTACGCGAGCAGAGTGCTGACGGGGGCGGAACAGAAGTATTCAACAACGGAGAAAGAATGCTTGGCCATCGTGTGGGCGTTAGAGAAGTGGAGAAATTACTTACTGGCGAATGAATTCCGGGTCGTCACTGACCACAAACCGCTCTCGTGGTTGATGACGGCGAAAGACCCGCGGGGACGGCTTGCGCGATGGGCCTACCGATTGCAGGAATTCAACTTCACCATTGAGCACGTGGATGGAACGCAGAATGTATTGCCAGATATGTTGTCACGCCCGTGTTTGGACGACATCATGCCTACAGGACAAGGCCCACGGTGCGTGGGGTGTCAATGTAGTGTTATCTGGTTTCCCCCTGGTTGTAATGCCAGTTTTGTGTTGTGCGTGAGATTCGCGATGTGGGGAGGGGGAGGGAGAAGAGAAGAAGTGGGGGCGAGGGGGTGAACACCCCCTCCTTGTGGGCGGATACTTAAAAAGGACCATAGGACAGAGAATGATGATTCGTGTGACTGAATTTGTAGTTGTGCTCCTCAACATACAGGCTCAGGCACCCCACCACCCCCACAAACCGGAGGGCCGGAGGTGTGGGAGGCCGGACTGGGCCTTATCAGAAGAGGTTGGGAGGGTAGGGGGGGGTGGGGGGAGGAGTAAGGGAGGAGGTGGTAGGAGGAAAGGATCTCCCACTCTAGTGATCCGGCGTACAGGTTGATTGATGGTGTTTGGGTTTGTTTGTTGCCTTTGAAGGTTTTTCGGAGGGGGTTTCCGGGGGAGGGGGAAAAAAATACGGATTGCGATTATCGTGCGTCGTTGGTCGGGCGCTTGTGTGTCGGGTGTTTGTGGCGTGTGGTGTGTGTGGGGCGATTTAGCGGGAACGGGACGGGACGGGGAGGGAAAAAGTAGAGGGGAGGGGGGAATATCAAAAGTGGGAGAGTGCGGCTTTTGTTCCACCCCCCATATCAGCGAGAGAACGTGTGTGTGATGCGTATAACCTATGATGGCGCCCTCCCTTATGTTTGGGATATGGATTCGAGCGGGGGTCTGTTTCTTTTGGGAGTTTCTGTTTCTGTTTGGTATGTTGCTGCCGGAGGCGAAAAAAAACAATGCGGGGCGAATATGTTGTGGCCACCCCCTCCCCAACCATTTGACGGAGGAGGGAAGGGACCACGTCGTCGCGGCATACTTTCGGGGGGGTCTGGTGGGGTGGGGGTTTGTTTTGGGTGTCGGCTGTTGCCCCCCAAACTGCCAAAACGAGATAGTAAATAGTTCGGGAGATGGATGGATGTGGTGAAGAAAGGGAGGAGAAACCCCAAACAAAAACAAAACGAAGTCGGGTGGGGATGGAGAGTGTAGATAAATAGTGGGAATTAGTCCCCGAGGAGGAGACCGCCGAGGTAATGCGGATCGATTGCCGACTCTATGCGGATCGTTGGAGGTTGGTGAGCCAAATGTCGAGAGCCTACTTTTGTTTGGTGCGGGTGGTTTTGTTTGTTTTTGTGCCTAATCACGAGGGAGGTGGTTTGAAGCTGTTGTAGGTTGGTTGTCCACGTGAGCTCGAAGCCACTTCTAGTGTTTGGGGGAGCTCCGGACCCTGATCCTGGACCGAACCGTCTTTTGAATGCCTCTTCCTACCAGTTGAAAGGTAGTCGAAAATTACAAAAAAAAAGGTTTCACGAAATACAGGAAACCCGATACACATTCAGTGGATGATAATGATGATATTGACCTCCACTTCACTCGATGGGGGGGAAAAAGCCCCCCACTCAACACCTCATCCCCACCACCCACACATACCCAATCAAGGACCTAACAGGGAGAGAGGAGCGAGCGAGCGAGGACACGAGTGCAGTTTTTTGTTTGTGCTCGTGTCTTGTGGAGGCGAGACAGTGGAGAGCGAGAGGCAGTGTTGTTTTGGACCAAGAAGTGGGACTTGGAATGTGTGAGAGGAAGGCGATGAGCGAGCGAGAGAGGACTGTTGTTTAGACGAGCCGAGGGGGGACCAGTTTTTTTTTTCTTTTATTGACAGATGGACCGAGAGACTGAGGACTGCGTGGGGGGTGACGAGGGGATGAGGAACCTCGTTAGTTCTCATGTTGGTTGTGGTGGTGTTTGGCTCCGCCTAGTTCTTGGGCAGTGGGCGGGGGCGGTGGGTGTCGCCTTCCGTAAATGACAGTTTTTTTCGAGAAGGACAAGTGACATTGAAGAGGCGTAGACGTAAAGAGTCAGTTGTTTGTCCCTCGCCATGTATAATATGTTATAGTTTTTCGATATCGCAAGTATTTCGAATTCATGTGTGGCCTTTGCAAGACAAGGATGGGATCCCACAGTGTTCCCACAGGGTATCTCACGGAGACCAAGGGGCCTTGCCTGCTTCGAGTCAAAAGCGTTTTAAAGGCAGGTGGTTGTGTTTTTTCGCAGTATGTTTTAACAGGTTGTTGGAGTGACCAGTTGGTTGGTGGTAGTGTTAGTGTGTTGAGTGTTTCAGTGTTAGTTTGTTTGGTGGAAAGTGGATGTGTTTGTTGAGAAGTTAGTTAAGTGTTTGTTTTCTTAGCTCTTTCATGTAGGCTAGAGTTTTGTTGGACAAGTTTAGGACAAGCTGGGGGCGGTGCATCGGTTGTTGTTTGGCAGGTGCACCAGTGTTGTTGGACAAGTGGGGCATCCAGATGGGAGAAGAGAGAGAAGACGGCGCCGGAACGGAGACGACCGAACATCACTCCGTTGCCCGTACCACCCAACAAACCAACGGGAAATGCAATTGGACCGAGGGAAGAAGCAAGCGGGTTTTTTTTTTTTTTTTAAGGACGACCGAGCTGCGGGAGCGGGTTTTTTTTTTTTTTTTTTTTTTGAAGCTGGTAGAAAGCGGGGTTTTGGGAAGCCGGTTTTTTTTTTAACCGCGACGGGGACATTGAAAGACTGTGGTTGTGAAAAAACTGCACGCGAAGTTTGGCGGTATGTTGTGGCGCGTGGTGCGTCCGTGGGAGAGGAAGAAAGCTAGATAGATGGAAGAAAAGATTGAAGAATGACGGCCGTGGGAAGTAGAAAGAAGAATAATTAGATAGGTGTGGGCGTGGGGAAGAAAGTCGTGTTCGTGCGTGGGGGTCCGTTGGGGGAAAGATTAAGATGGGACGGAAAGATAGAATTAGAATGCTAGTGCTTGAGGTCGGCGGTTCGTGGGGGTATAGATTGGCCGCGTTGGGAGTTGGGAAGATAGGGAATGGGGGAGTTGCTTTGGGGAGGGGAATGTAAAGTAGAGATTGGCCGTGGGGAAGATAGTTTAGATGCTTTTTTGCCTCAGGTTTCTGATGGTTCGATCGCCGCTCGTTTCGTTTTAATCGGACCAGCATTGCAATCAACCACCCACCAAGGGTCGCCTCGCGCCACCATTCGAATTACCTGTTCGGACCAGAGAACCACGGATTTGCGCTCGACGATACTTGCCCTACCGAAACCGGGGGAGGGGGGGGGGGGGGGGGAGGGGGGGGGGGGGGGGGGGGGGGGGGGGGGGGGGGGGGGGGGGGGGGGGGGAGGGGGGGGAGGGGGGGAGGGGGGGGGGGAGGGAGGAAGGGGAGGGGAAGGGGGGGGAAAAGGGGGGGGGGGGGGGGCGGGAAGGGAAGAGGGGGGAGGGAAGAGGGGAGAGCGGGGCGGGGTGGGGGGGGTGGGGGGGGGGGGGGGGGAGAGGGGGGGGGGAGGAGGGGGGAAGGGAAGGGGGGGGGGGGGGGGGGGAGCGGGGGGAGGGGAAGGGGGGGGGGGGGAGGGGAGGGGGAGGGGGGGGGGGAGGGGAGGGGGGGGGGGGGGGGGGGGGGGGGGGAGGGAAGGGAAGGGGGGGGGGGGGAAAAGTGGGGGAAAGGAGGCGACGGGGGGAAAGTAAGAGAGGAGAGAAAGGAAAGAGAATAAGAGAAGAAGTGAAGGATAGTAGGGAGAAGGGTAGAAAGAAGAAAGACGAATAGGGAGAGAATAGAAGAAAGCGAAAGAAAGGAAGCGACGAAAACAAAGCTCTCTTCCTCGACAAGGCGCGGCGGAATTATCGGAACGCGGAAATTAAAATAATAAGCGAAAATAATTACGGACCGCCAAGAATTGATAAGCAGAAAGCGATGATGAGGCTCACAAGTGGTGACGGCCCATCCCACCATTCATTTCAGGTTTGGAGAGAACAAGTCAAGGTTACGGAACAACGGATTGGCGGCGGAGGGGCGGATCATGAGGGCCGGGGCGCAAAAGCAAAAAAGCAAGAGTTCAGAGAACGAGAAGGAGAAACGCTTGGAAATGGAAATGGAATGGAAAGGAAGGCCCCTCCCTACACCAAATATCGACCAGGAAAGGGCCAACTTCTTAATCTACTGCGGGGGGAATATGATGAAACGTGTTTTGGGTGTGAATGCTACTCTCTGCGACCCATGGTGTATAACGAGAGGGGAAGAAAGTAAGATAGAAAGAGAAAGAAGAAGGACCAAATTGAAGAAGAAAAAAGAAAGAAGAAAATAAAGGAAAGAGATGAATCCTCGAGATTGTCCTTCGAGGAGGGGCGGGCGGGGGGGGGTTTTGTGGTTTTTTTGTTGGTTTTTGTTTTTTTTTGTTGTTGTTTTTGTTTTTGTTTTTTTGTTTTGGGTTTTGTTTTTTGTGTTTGGTTTTTTTTTTGTATTTTTTTTGTTTTATTGGTTTTTGTGGTTTTTTTTTGTTTTTTTATTTTTTTTTTGTTTTTTTGTGTTGTTTTTTTTTTTGTTTTTTTTTTGTTGTTTTGTTGTTTGTGTGGTGTTTGTGTTTTGTTGTTTGGTGGGTAGGTTTTTTTTGGTTTTTTTTTTGTGTTTTTTGTATTTTTTTTTGGTTTTTTGTGTTTTTTTTGTTTTTTTTTTTTTTTGTTTTTTGTTTTTTTTTGTTTTTTTTTTTTTTTTTTTTTTTTTTTTTTTGTTTTTTTTTTTTTTTTTTTTTTTTTTTTTTTTTTTTTTTTTTTTTTTTTTTTTTTTTTTTTTTTTTTTTTTTTTTTTTTTTTTTTTTTTTTTTTTTTTTTTTTTTTTTTTTTTTTTTTTTTTTTTTTTTTTTTTTTTTTTTTTTTTTTTTTTTTTTTTTTTTTTTTTTTTTTTTTTTTTTTTTTTTTTTTTTTTTTTTTTTTTTTTTTTTTTTTTTTTTTTTTTTTTTTTTTTTTTGTTTTTTTTTTTTTTTTTTTTTTTTTTTTTTTTTTTTTTTTTTTTTTTTTTTTTTTTTTTTTTTTTTTTTTTTTTTTTTTTTTTTTTTTTTTTTTTTTTTTTTTTTTTTTTGTTTTTTATTTTTTTTTTCTCTTTTTTTTTTTTTTTTTTTTTTTTTTTTTTTTGTTTTTTTTTTTTTTTTTTTTTTTTTTTTGTTTTTTTTTTTTTTTTTTTTTTTTTTTTTTTTTTTTGTTTTTTTTTTTTTTTTTTGCTTTTTTTTTTTTTTTTTTTTTTTTTTTGTAGAGGGGGCCCGGCATCCCCGCGCTCCGGCATCCGCCGCCGCTCTACCACCCCCCACCGCCAGGCCCCGCGCGCTTTTGCCAAGATATTGGCCAACGAAGGAAAAGGAAGAGCTTCTCGGGAAAAAAGGAAGGGGAGAAAGCTCGAGCACAGAAAGAAGAGGAAGAAGGTCGAAAGGGAAAAGTGGGGAAGCTCTAAAAAGAGGGAGGGAGGGAGGGAGGGGAGGGCAAGCGCTACGGGGCGGGCATGAGGAAAAAGAAGGGAGGGGGACGACAAGGGGACGAAGGGAAAAGAGGGAGGAAGGGGGGGGGAAAGGGAGAAGGGGAGGGAGAAGGGAGATGGGAAGGAAGAAGGACGGGTCCTTTTCTCCTACATATTTACCGGCTACTCTCTATCGACGAGCAGGGGGCGCCAGGAAAAAGGAGGGAGAGCCCGCCGGCGGCCGGCGGGGGAAGACGGGGGGGCGGGGAGAGGGGGGGGGGGGGGGGGGAGGGGAGGGGGGGGGGGAGCAAGCCAAGGGGGGACGGAGGAAGGCAAAAAGGGGGGGGGGGGGCGGGGGGTGGAAGGGGGGAGGGGAGGGGGGGGAAGGGGGGGGTGGGGGAGAGAGGGGTGGAGGGGAATATGAGGGGACAAGAGGTAATAAGAGGTAATAGATAAGGAAGGGAAGGGAGAATAACGGGGAAAGGATAATGAAGAATATTGAGGGAGGGAAGAAGCGGGAAGGGGATTGGGAGGAATATCGGGGAATTTGTGAAACAGCGCAATAAATAGGACAAATACCGCACGCTATGCGCAACAACAAAACAAAAGCCACAGGACCGAGAGGGCCGAGCCCGAATTCGAAATTACCGAGCCGACGACCGACCGAGCCGATTATATAAGAGCCGATTGGATCGCGAAAAAAACCGAAGCCGACCCGATTGGACACCAAACCGTAAGAACATAGCAAATAGTGAGGAGCTCTCGACGAAAAACCGACGCTCATGGCCGATCCAAATCGCGTGGGTGGGGTACCAAGAGAAGGGTACCGGGGGGTACAGTAGATCTGTGGGAGGCTAAGCTCGAGGCGAGGAGAAGGAACGGCGGAAAGAGGCGGAACGCGGGAGAAGAAGGAAAACAGGAAGGAAGCAAGGGGGACCTGGGGGGGGGGGGAATGGCGGGGGGGGGGTACTTCCATAGTACTGAGCTACGAGGCGAAAATAATAAGAATAAAGAGATTAACGGAAAAAGGGATATTGGCCTCGTCTCTACATCGCTTACTGTGTGCGACAGTGTGTGGTGAGACGGATTTCTAGTTGATATTCGATGGCGCGCGTGAGTGGAGGGGCGTGTTGTGTGACCACCTGATGAGTGTGGAGACCCTTGTGTGCCCATTTTCGGGTGTGAAATATAATATATACGTTCGACCCCCTCCCCCTGTCGTTTGTCCGTTTTCGACTACCTCTGGTTTTTTTTGCCGGTCGTAGACCAATCGCGATTGGAGTTGACCCGGTTGGGAGCAAAATAGCAATTTGCGGGCCGGTGGACGGGGGGCCGCCCCGCGTGGCGTTTGGGGTGGTTTTTGACCGTTGGAGGCGTGGCCTTCGATGAGTTCGACGGAATTCGGCTTGCACGGGTGTTAGTGTGGTTTGTTGTGTGGTTTGTGTGTTTTGTGTGTGGGTTTTGGTCCTGTATGTGTGTGTGAGGGGGATGCTGGATGGATGGAGGGGAGATGCAAATTTGCTAATTGCTTTGGGCACACGGTTGAGTGGACGAGCCAAGGCGGCCGTGTTGTATTGCTCACTCGGAAGGCCAATACCCTGGTGTTGTTCGTGTTCGCGAGAGAATGAGGCTTGCCTTGGTGTGTGTGTGCGAATTTAGGGAAGGATCTGGAGAGAGAGAGAGAACGAGCACTGCAAACGATTTCACGCAGCACAGAGTGGGACTGAACAGGATGGCATTTGATCGGGTGATTTTTCCAGGCAGCTCTGGACAGCGGGACCTCTAAACGATTGGGCTCCCCCGCGAGTTAGAGAGTTTGAGGGCAACGCAAATATGCGTGGAACGAGCGACTCCCTACTGGAACAGCAAGTTTATCCGAAGTCTGACTCACCGATCCACTCGTGATCAGGTGAAATCGGTGGCGTCGCGATTCCGATGGTAGCAGGAGGACAGCAAAAGCGTTTTGGTTCTGGGGTGACCCCCCCCGCGGTTTTTTTTTTTTGCCAGAATTTGTCGGATCGAGTGTACAGTGAGACGCATCCAGCATGCTGAGTTGGAACAGAAAGTAAATCGCCTATCCGAAATGGTGTGGAGCAGCTTCTACCCCCCACCCCCCCCATACATCCCACTCTACACCAACGATCCCTATTCCGAGTAAGCAAGTGCAGCAGCAGTTTTGGAGCAGCTCCTCCTGGCCAGAGGAAGGCAGCTGTGTGCTAAGAAGCTGCTTGAGCGCTTGTTGGGGGGCGGCGGGGTGATGAGTATATAGGGAGTCTTCAAGCACCTCTTCACCAACGCCCATAATGTCGGGCATTCCGGAACGCAGGCGGGGTCCCGCCCGCTGTGTTTCCGAATGCAACCAGAGTGGTAAATGTGTGGGCGTGATTGTGCACCAAAACGTCCAATTTGTGCCCCATTGTGTCTCTCTATCCATGCCCGGCCGATTAGGCAGGTGGCAACCCCTCCCCCCGCACCGCGGGGCGGCGCCGGCCCGGCCCCGCGCCCGCCCCGGAGTTATCGAGCCCTCGCGAGCCACGCCCCGGAGTAGAGTACAGTCCTCCAAGGTATTTAAACCGCTGGTATAGAAGGTTTGTCGTGTTTCGTCCGAGCCATGTTAGACCACAGGAGCGGCAGGACGTGTAAGTGGTGACTGGTCACAAAAGGTGGCTGCCCAACCAGGTGTGTGGTCTGTTGTTGGTTGAATGTCTAGGTGGAGTGGGTCACAATATTGACTACGGAAAAAGAGGTTTTGCTTTGGTTTGTTGTTTGGGTTTTTGATTATTTTTTTTTGCGTGGTGGGTTTGGGTTGCCTTTCTAACGTCGACCCGGAATGATGGTTCAGTGAAACCCCATTTCCGTCAATCACGATGGCAGAACGACGGACGGTGCTTCGGTTCCGTCTGGCGGGCGCGCCGCGTTTTTGTCTTTGAAAAGTGACACTTGACTCTGGGCAACGCTAGCGGTTATATTGTTTTTGCTACCCGAATCAGTACTAGCGAGATAGGGGAAGGAAGAAGAAGCGAGAGAGGGAGGGGGGAAGGGGGGGGGGGGGGGAAGAAGGGAAAGCGGGAAGGGGAAGAGGGGGGGAGGGGGTAATAGTATGGGAAGGGGGGGGAGGGTAAATAAGGAAAGGGATGGGGGGGGAGGGGAAAGGAATACGCTCATTCAGCCCTCCCCATGACACCATGTTCTTCCGTGGAGGGTGAAGGAGACCTATCAGAGAGGAAAAGACGACCGAACCATC